TTCATATGAAAACAATCTCCGAGATAAGCTTTGAACTTGCTTACCATCTCTGTATTATCTCCAGCAATAATCAAATCGTCAACATAAACCAAAACATGTATGACTCCTTTCTTTCCAACGAAAGAAAATAAGGAGTAATCAGCAACAGATTGGACAAACCCATAGCGTTTCAAGGCTCCAGACAACTTGGCAAACCAACACCTTGGAGCTTGCTTTAAGCCATACAAAGACTTCTTGAGTTTGCACACCACATTAGACGAATTTAAGAAACCAGGTGGCAATCTCATATACACCTCATCCTGAAGATCTCCGTGTAGAAATGCATTGTGAACATCCATCTGATGCAATTCCCACCCCTTAACTGCTGCAATTGCTAAAAGCGTTCTCACAGTGGTAAACTTGACTACAGGAGCAAATGTTTCTTTGTAGTCAAGTCCTTTAACCTGATGATTGCCAAGTATAACAAGTCTGGCCTTATATCTCTCCACACTTCCATCGGACTTGCGCTTGATCTTATATACCCATTTGCAACTAAGGGGCTTTTTATGGCGTGGAGGAGAGACAAGAGACCACGTCCCATTAGCCTCCAGTGCATCAATCTCCTCTCTCATAGCCTTCCTCCATCGTTCATCCTGGAATGCCTTCTTGAAACTCTTGGGCTCCACTTCAGCATCAAGTGCACTGAGAAAACACTTATGTTTCTGAGAAAACTTCTCATATGTGACATACGACGAGAGAGGATATTTGCATTTCTCCCCGACATATGGTCCAACCACATGGGTAACATAATCAGCAAGGCGTACATTTGGACGTTTCTCACGCTGACCACGTCCCAAGTTCTCCACCGCTGGCTGGGAAGGGGACGGTCGACTGCCGTCCGTGGAACGGTCCACGGGGTCGACCGTTTGGAGCTGTTCTTGATCGCTAACTTTCTGCCTCGGAGGCGGTCGACCGTCTTCCTCATCACGGTCGACCGTTTGATCATCTCCCAAAGAACCGTCATTCTGCCTCTCGAACGGTCGACCGTGGATATCAGGACGGTCCACCAGATCAACCGTTCGGTCATCTCCCAGGAATCCGTCATTCGGCCTCTCTGACGGTCGACCTTGGGCATCGGAACGGTCCATCAGGTCGACCGTCTGTAGCCGGTCAGCTCTGCTGCTTTCCTCCGGTCGACTGTCCCTCCTGGAACGGTCCATTTGTTCTTCCGTCCGCAGTTCTTCATCTTCATCATAAGAGCTAACCTCATTTGTGGTTCCTGTATTAAGAGAAGCACCTGTAGGAGTCAAGAAAGGGAAAATATCTTCACAAAATACAACATCCCGGGACACCTTGATTTCCCCAGTGTCTGGGTAGTAAATACGCCATCCCTTCTTCCCTTGTGGATATCCAACAAATATTCCAGGATTGCTTCTTGGTGCAAATTTATCATCATTCCTTTTCAAGTTATGAGCATAGCATCTGCATCCAAAAACACGAATATGAGCCAAAGAGGGGGGCTTTTCATAAATCTTCTCGTATGGTGTGACCCCCTAGCAAAGACGACGGTGTGCGATTGATCAGATGTGCGGCGGTCTGTATACACTCTCCCCAGAACTCAATCGGAAGACCAGCCTGAAACCTCAAAGCCCGACCCACATTCAAAATGTGTCGGTGCTTGCGTTCTACTCTCCCATTCTGTTGTGGATTAGACACGCAAGACGTCTCATGAATAATTCCTTGCTCCTGGAAATATTCATTTAGACATTCAAATTCTGTGCCATTATCACTGCGAACACACTTTATTTTCTTCCCGAATTGTCGTTCTACCATAGCACAGAATTGTTTAAAAACAGTGCCAACCTTGCGTTTGGAATCAAGCAAATGTACCCAAACACCTCTTGAAAAATCATCCACAATAGTCAAGAACATTGTAGAACCATCAAGACTTGGAGTCCTATATGGTCCCCATAAATCACAGTGTATCATATCAAATTTATCAACAGATTGATAAAAACTTATAGGAAAACTCCCACGAGTCTGTTTAGCACGCAAACAAATGTCACAACAACTGTGACTACTCTTACTTGTTCCAACTCCAGGAACAA